TGGAAAATGTTCTCCCTCCAGGCGCTCCTAACTACCTAAGACGCTCCTTTCCTTACAACATCATCAACACCTGGAACGCGCTGCCATCCTCCCTCTTCACCAAACCACCATCTTCTAAGGGCCTACAATCCTTCAAAGCGAACGTCCACTACCAATTTCGCCGAAGCCAGTGGCTTTGGGCCACAGACTCCCTCTAACAGTTCAGAACTATTTCCATCTTGAAGCTCCTCCTCCCCCCCCCAAGCATTGCATCATGTTCACTGCATCTGAACTGCCTTTGAATCTATTTTTCTCTCTTCTTGTTCTGTCTCCACCCCCCCCCCCTTCTCTCTCTCCTCAACCATTCTACCTAACCTTCTCTTGTCTTTATCGCTAAATCACCCCCTTCTTTTAGGCTATGGTGCGCAAGCTCACGTTAACGCCGAGACCATAGGTCGGTGTTGTGGGCTTGCCTCACCAGTACAGGCTTGCTTTGCAGCCCCTACTCTCCCTGCTGTTTTGTTATTGTATACTCTGTTGTCTTCTCCCCTTCTGACGAGTAGGTTGTGTACTTAGTAAAAAAAAAGGTTTTGACATGACTGTACTAAGTACATCGTAGTTGTACATTTGGAATTACAATTGTTATCATTGACATTAGACTGTATTCACAGCCATTTTATGACATTAGACTGTAGTGCTAGAGTGTTTTCACAGCCATTTTTGCTCGTTTTTCTTCCGGTGCTGTTGTGGCTGCACTCGTAATAATTATTGTGTTTATTTTGCCCGTACAAGAGGCTTGATTGCGTTGAAAAAAAATTGCTCTCTCCATCTCTCTCCCCCCTCTACCTCTCCCCCTCTCTCTAGAGACCATTAGCAAGCCTTGAAACGGCAACGCGAAGGGGGAGCTGGGTTAGAGTCCCGTCGTGACAACGCGAAACATGCTTGTGTTTGACAAGTTCGGAGGGGTCTACTCGTCACTGATGACCGCAACGAGTGGGTTTCAGTCTAGTACGTGCGATTTCAACCATGATAAGGAGAGTAGCACTGTAAATCGCGAGACTTTTGTCTTTGCAATTTTTCTCAAATTTCTCAAATTCTTCATCTATTCTTGTTGGAATAATTTTGAGGGCGAAACGTACCAAACAACCAGTAGAACCATTGATTTTGGCATAACCATTACTAACATTTTAGAATATTCTCAACTGATTTGCTGCATTGTAAAGTCTTTCGGAGAGTGTTTTGGCATGGACCTCGTGAACATAACCTTTTACTACACCCATCCATCTGCGATGTGGCTGTCATGGGTTTCTGTCACTTGTATTCCGGTAAAAGTCAATTAGACTGAATTATTTGTTCTCAAACAAAGTTCGCAAAAACCGTTGCCAGTAAAAAATATACAGAAAACTGTTTGAAACTGGAAAGCAGCCGACTCGCGTACACGGGTTGTGAACACGAGAAGCTAATCATAAATCACGCGGTGTTTCGCGTGCGTTCTGATGAACTCGTTCCGTTGACGTTTCACGGCTTGCTAATGGTCCCTTCTCCCTCTCTCTCTCTCTCTCTCTCTCTCTCTCCCTCTCTCTCTGTCTCTTTCTCTCTCTCTCTCTCTCTCTCTCTCTCTCTCTCTCTCTCTCTCCCTCTCTCTCTCTCTCTCTTGGTCACAATCAGGGCCAATGTGAACAAGTGCTCAATGACAAAGGTGGCGAGCTGAATACCCAAATACAAGCGACAAAATAGACTGTGCTACCATAACATTTAAAACACCACAGCCATTTGTTTCCTGTTACAGGCTTCATGCACTGGATTATAAACGAGCTGCTTTCCTTTATGCTTACCTTTACTCTTTTCTACTTCAGTATCTGTGCTCGGAACATCGGATACGAATACATAGGAGTATAACGGTGCAAAAGATTTTCAAACTTTGTTAGTGCTTGTCCAATACAACAGGCTGGGGATTGGGAAGATGTTATGAGAAACTGGTGTGGCAATCATGATGATGCATCCAGATCAATGTCCAACCACAGGAGTGTAGTACTACATGTATTCAGTGAGTTTTACTCTCACCCTGCACCATGGTCGGGCACAGACACATGTATAGGTGGATCTGAGTTGGCACGAGTATGGAGAGGAGCAAGATGGCGGGAGAAAACTAGATATAAATCTTATAAATAGGGAAAAAATCTAGAATAGGAGGTGGGGAATTTGCTGTGAGCGTGTTCGCTGAAGAGATGGTTGGTACACTGTTCAAGGAGACAAAACAGCAATCCACAGGCGTGGGTCTATCATTATCCAGTTATATTGATGTGTAGGTGATCACAACAGGTTGGCGTAGATGGCCAGGACGGAGAGAAAGAGGGCGACAAGCGACACTGTATGGGAGACACAGGGGCAGAGAAGAGAAATTGATGTCAACTACGGTGCCCGTCCACTGAGAGCAGTATCTTGAATACTTCCTCTTCAGCGTGAAACCAAGCATATGCATAAATGTGGTATTGTTTTGCTAACAGGGCTTGAAAGTGCTACGTCACAGTTTAGCAACAATTTCAAAAATTCAAAAACTGGACCCACATGCATACAGTTTTTGTATGGATCCAAGCACATTTCGAGCGGTCTTACTCACAGCAAGGTGATACAGGCAATCAGCAAGGTGATGCACCCACATACTGTAGGCAATAGCAAAGTCACGCCTTGGTGGATCCAAACGTAGAACTTACTACTCTCTAGCCGTTTTGACGTCATCACTTTCAAGCCCTATGCTCTTGTCTATGTCAATGAACTGATCCATCAAAATCTCAGATGTTGCTATCGTTGTCGTGATCATTCTCGTTGTTCCTGACGTCGTCGCTGTTGTTGGCTCTTCTTTTTAACACAAACAGGCAACTACCAGTATGCATTCATGCATGTGTGTGACTATCATTGCAAGACATAAAATTATAGTAAACGCAAAATGGTCTCATTGTTGACTAGTAGAGGATGCAACGATAATACATTAACGAAAAATACATCCAGCAATAAGAGTTTGGTACATACAGTCATGTATGTGTGTGTGTGTGTGTGTATGTGTGTGTGTGTGTGTGTGTGTGTGTGTGTGTGTGTGTGTGTGTGTGTGTGTGTGTGTGTGTGTGTGTATCCATAGGTGTACAGTGCTGGCAACTGAAATCCGACCCCCCCTAGCGTCTCGTACGAATCGCTAACGCGGCTAGCGCACCGCTGGGGGGGGGGGGGGGTCGGATTTCAGTTGCCAGCACTGTATGTGTTTTTGTGTGTGTCATGTACATGGCAGTACGTTTTTGTGTATGTGCACCATAGATGATAACATCCATGTGCACCATAGATGATAACATCCATGTGCACCATAGATGATAACATCCATGTGCACCATAGATGATAACATCCATGTGCACCATAGATGATAACATCCATGTGCACCATAGATGATAACATCCATGTGCACCATAGATGATAACATCCATGTGCACCATAGATGATAACATCCATGTGCACCATAGATGATAACATCCATGTGCACCATAGATGTTAACATCCATGTGCACCATAGATGATAACATCCATCTTCAAGCCTTTCAACACATCGCTCCTACTTCACTTCATTTTTCTGCTCTTGTCAGTCTACTGTTCGCTCTCCTTGATACTTTTGAAGCGCCTCGTCTGCTACTACTCAATTCCTGCATATTCCTGATATCATTTTCACATGCATGGATCACGCATACTCATAGTAACATGGAGACTCACCAATCGTAGGTCCTGAAGCTGAAGACGTGGCGACTGTGGGGGGACCAGGGGTCATCTAAAAACACATACGAGAAAGGTTGATGTGATGCAGTTGTGTATTCCTACAAGTTTTGGCCTCTCTGGATGGCTTAGTATTTAACTGCCAGCCTAGTGCCAGATGATTTGCAGCCAGGGAAGAATCTGATTTCTTGTCTGTGTGCTTCGTAGATAGTATCTCTTAATTTGCAGGCCAAAAATCCGATACATGTATATAGAATGTGAAAATGTGTGCCTTTTATGCCGTTGTTATTGGTCATCACGACCAATAATAACGGCATAATGGTTTTCATGGAAGTTGGAAATATGTTTGAGGCATGAATGTTTACATTTTAGATTCATAGGGCGATAATATTTCTGATGAATACCCATTTTCAGCAATAATTGGAAATTTGAGCATAATTGTTCAGCTGCTGTCATGGAAAGGACTGAAGCAGTGAATGTGCAGAAGAACATTGCAGGTGTGGCACGGGGTGGTTTCTTGACGACATATCGCGCATGCCATCATGAAACTACCAGTTTTGAGGATAAAACAAGGTCCAATAAAATCTCAAATCCTATATATAGGAATCGTGAAATAGGGCACAGGCCTTAGTAATATTGGGCAAGGAGATGAGCCTGAGATGTAAGTGTTTGAAAAAATAATCTTATTCAGCTCTCGATATCTACTAAGACCTAGCAAGGAAGAATTGGTCACATACTTTTTGCTAATCTCATGCCACACCCATTTTGAGCTGAAAAATATGACCAAAATCCTGTATATAGGATTTAGCAAATTAAGAGATAAGCCCATTGCGCAATGACGTAATTTGTGCCATAGACACCCCAGACAACCACCTGGGCATAGTCGTCTGGGGTGTTGAGCACTGAACAGTGCATTCCTGATCCCAGTGTACTCACATGCATTACTCATACCTTCCATATTTGGCAATGCGCAATGGGCTTATTGCAGCCTTCGTCCCTTCTGACTTCCTTCTTGGATGAAATCATGAGAACAGGAGCCAAATACGGAAACTGAAATGGGGACTTTGATGTGATAGGTGCATTTTATACTGTACATACGCTAAAGAATACTATAATAATGTCAGAGCTCCCCGGGTGCTAGTTCGTACACGAAGTGTGTGGGTTGTGAGGGCTGCATACCACCCGCCTGTGTGGATTCACATCAGGCTTGAGTTTCGAATTCAGAATGAAATGGTCGCCGCTTGGTTGACGACTACACAAAAGCTTACTTGTGGAGCGACTGTGGACGTGGCGACTGTGGGGGGACCAGGGGTCATCTAAAAACACATACGAGAAAGGTTGATGTGATGCAGTTGTGTATTCCTACAAGTTTTGGCCTCTCTGGATGGCTTAGTATTTAACTGCCAGCCTAGTGCCAGATGATTTGCAGCCAGGGAAGAATCTGATTTCTTGTCTGTGTGCTTCGTAGATAGTATCTCTTAATTTGCAGGCCAAAAATCCGATACATGTATATAGAATGTGAAAATGTGTGCCTTTTATGCCGTTGTTATTGGTCATCACGACCAATAATAACGGCATAATGGTTTTCATGGAAGTTGGAAATATGTTTGAGGCATGAATGTTTACATTTTAGATTCATAGGGCGATAAGCAAGCGTTCTTGGTTTGAGTCCTGGTGGTGAAAGTGAATTGTTTCTTCGAATTTTTCCCGCTCGCACTTGTCCTTCAAACTACTGAATACCCTCTATCTACAGTAGTACAGTCAACAAAGGCTAATAACGACTGCGGATATAACAACAATTCGCGAATAACGACAGTATTTCCATGCCCAGAGCAAAGCCCCATCTAAATGTAATACATAATGAGACTTGGGGTATAAGGAAACTTTTCTCATACCCCGTCGAGTGTCGTTATACGCGAAGCTGACTGTATTCGTTTGGTTTTTGAATTGATGTTGAATGATTCATTTTGTATGAAAGGTGAAGCTTAGCACACGATTACATGCACAAAGGGTACAAAACATTCAGAAACGTACCGGAAAGTTTTGGTAGATCGTTCGATCATTGAGTGATTGCAGCGGACGAGCATTATCACCAAAGATGAAAGCACTTGGTAACCCAGACACAGGATTTAGGCCGCTTGATAGAGAATTGAGCTGAAACGAACACCGCAGACAGAACTAAATGTATACAAAAGAGAAAGACCAAGGAACTACAAGTTACGCTATACTGTCCACTAACACCACCAGTTACTAAACAATCAGCTCCAGCTATAACATTGCATGACACTGACCGACGAAACTGACGTTCCACAACTAACTGGCTAACAGCTCTAGCACATCTTGGATGCGCACTCCAACAGCCTTCCAACTTGGAAGGTTCTAAGCTATAGAAATAACATAAGGAGGGGAAGGTGAGCGCAACCAAGATAAGCATGAGCTGAAAGTCTCAGCTGTGAAGGACAGTAGGCTGTTGGAGTGCGCATCCAAGATGTGCTAGAGCTGTTAGCCAGTTAGTTGTAGAACGTCAGTACCGTCGGTCAGTGTCGTGCAATGTTATCGCATGAGCTGATTGTTTAGTAACTGGTGGTGTTAGTGGACAGTATAGCGTAACTTGTAGTTCCTTGGTCTTTCTCTTTTGTATAAATTAAACCTTGGCTCTCCATCTGACAACTAAATGTCCTCTATATTTTGAGGGAGACCTTTGGTAGTGATATTGTTATCCTGGAAACGGAAACAAACAGATTTTTAAAAGTGGCCTGGAAATGACATGCTTCACACGGAAAACTCAAGCTATATACTTTCTCCGTTAACAAAAACTTCGTGATGGATTTTTGAGGGGCTGGTTTGGGCACAACCTGCCGTGAAATGAGTCGCATCAACTTTCTTGGCCTTCACTGGCATGCCATGAAAGAGGTACGCTGCAAGGAAAGCGACCTTTCACAACAAGCCGAGCGGAATCGATGGTTGCGCTGTGGAAGCATAGGTAATGAGAGTCATGGCGAGCGAAACTAAAACACCACTTCTCCGAAGGGATATTGCGCTGCTTGGCCTCTCTACCACTTTAGCACTAAGTAAGTTGGAGAGCGATAGAGAGCGATAAAACGGAGCAGCGAACCCACACAATGAGCGAGTGAACAAGGAGCTGCTCCGATCGCACGGCTCAATGAAAATAATTCTAAAGTCAAGTTCTTGTTCAACCTGCGCAAAGCCCAGATTCGAATGCTGATGACCATGCATTCTTTCAGAAGTCTGCAGTCCCATGAGAGTCTCATGGCTAAAGAAAGTCGACTGGACTTGCTAGCCGCTGCCGTTCAGTGCTGGCAGGGGTATCCATTAGAGAAAATGGAATCAGTTTGGATGTGCCTTTACTCCTCGTTTCGCAGAGCCCTGGAGAACGAAGATGAAACCAGGGAGTCGTAAAATATTTTTCACGACTCTCTGGTGGAAACTAGTAATTGCCATCGCGGCGGATCACGCAGCTTTAAAGCCAACTTACTTGAACGACGGCGACATCAAGGTCAGCGGAGTGTGATCAAAGAAGCCGAGGCAAGGCTGAAACGAGCTGAACAACGACTCGAGAGAGAGATGACGACTCGCGTGCAGCAGATGACGACTCCCGTGCAGCAGATGACGACAGCGACGCAGGTCAAAAATGAGTCGAGCGGAAGCGACGCAAACTGAACTCTCTGCTCATTCCGCCAAAAGCTTCTCTTGTAAAGACGCTGTACATAGGCTGAATCACCTTCGCCCAGTGATTACCAGTCGATACAAACTGTTCTTGACCTGTTCTAAGCGTTTTCATATCCATCAAAATCCATCACGAAGTTTTTGTTAACGGAGGAAGTAAGAATGCAGGCACTGTAAACCATTCTTCACTCTATACATATATCACTGTATGAAACGTGGACAAATATTCCAGCGGGGTATGAAATCTTTCACAATGCACTGTAGTCAGAAAGCTAAGCAGTCAGACAAACCCGCTGCTGGTAGGACATACTGAATAAAATCACAAAAGTATTCAGCAAATATTCGAAGCCTGAAGGAAATGCTGAACGGTCTCTGCTGCGATTGCATCTACACTATAGCTCAGTGGTGAGTATCGCTGGCCTCAAGCAACAGTCCCTCGAGTCCTGGTGGTGACAATCAAGTTTTCTTCAAACCTTTCCGTTCTACATTCCCTCAACTTTTTTATGAATAAAAAATATTCAGCATCTACGGAATCAATTCTTCAGCATCTACGATTTATCACACTGCATTCAGCGAGCCATACATTGGAAGACGTACCGATGCTGGTAGGACATACTGTACTTGGCTCATGACCATCCATATAACCTGCTCATTACACCCTGGCGTAGCCTGTGATCCCTTGTATGTGTAGAATGATGTGAGGTCCGAAGGCCTCAGCAGTGTGGCGAAGTCGATGGAGCGTATACCACCGAAGGCTGAAACAGGTGCAAAGTCGGGACAAGTGCAAAGTCGGTATACGAGAAGGCAAACACTGGGCAGTGTTATTCCCTGATCCAGCTAAGTAAGTTAGATGTCGATCTGCAAAAACTATTACATGCACTGCATACGGATCCGTGTCATACCATACAAAGTTTTCGAACCATGTAGCTGTCCTTGATAACTCCAAATGTGACAGTGTACCCCCTTGGGAGAGAGTTATTAATGCATACCCCTATCCACATACGGAGCACCTCTGCTGTTAGAGCCCCATGTATGTACTCTCCCTAGACACCTTTCCGCAAGGAGAGCGCAGACTCCCGAATTTACGGGCTTTGCCCACCCATTTGCGTAGAGTTGCTGTACTTTACTTTGGGCCGATTTCCGCTACAGTACTGTAAGTGCCGTGCCGACGATTTGGGTAGGTCACGTGTATCCCACGGTACGAGCTTGAAGCTGAGAGTGATTTACACCTGCGCACAGTCATTCCGTCGGCAGGCCGGATCACCATTTTTATCAATTTCTGACTTTGGTCCTGAGGGAAAATAGCGGGGGAGATGACTGGAGAAAGCTCAAGAATCAACCAATCGAAAAGCCAAAAGCCAAGAAAAAACTTCATTTCAGGGAGTAGTAAAATACCTACTACTCACTGCATTTGACCTCACGGAATACCACAGCATGCCATTTCAACTCCCCCCCCCCCGCTCGGCCCTCGGCACCGGAATGTCCACGGCGCTGTAGGGCAGGAGCCACGGTATGAACTCACGCCAAAACTGCCCCTCACGTGAGCAAATCACTATGGGTACTCACGGCACGGCACTCACGGTACCGTAGTGGAAATCGGCCCTCAGGCTGTGTTTACATGAGGCGTTTCAACCCGGATTGAGTTCGACCCGGGTCAGATTTCAACCCGCCATGTACACAAAATGAATGGCGCGTTTACATGACGCATTGCGCTTGACCCGGGTTGAAATTTCGCCCCGGGTCAAGAAAATCGTACAAACATACTTCTGTGCGTATCTCGCGCCAGGTTTGAACAGCACTGCACATGCAAATTTAGCGCGAACAGATTCACATTACCAACCATACAGGACTCTAGAAGTAGACGTTTGGCGGCATATCAGTATTTGACCCGGAACAACTGTCTTCGTGTAAACGCTCACCTATTTCGTCTATCGTACCGACTTTCAACCCGGGCTGAACTCGACCCGGGTTGAAATTTCTCATGTAAACACAGCCTCAGGGCCGATTTCTACTTTGGTACCGTGAGTGCCGTGCCAACGATTTGGGTAGGTCGCGTGTACCCCATGGTACGAGCTTGAAGCTGAGCGTGATTTACACCTGCGCACAGTCATTCCGTGCATTCCGTCAGCAGGCCGGACCACCATTTTTATCAATTTCTGACTTTGGTCCTGAGGGAAAATAGCGGGGGAGATGAGTAGAGAAAGCTCAAGAATCAACCAATTGAAAAGCCAAAAGCCAAGAAAAATTTCGTACCACAAATGCAAAAGAAAGGAAAAACTTCCTTTCAGGGAGTAGTAAAATACCTACTACTCACTGCATTCAACCTCACGGAATACCACGGCATGCCATTTCCACCCCCCCCCCCCCCAGGCCCTCGGCACCGGAATGTCCACGGCGCGGTACGGCAGGAGCCACGGAATGAACTCGCGCCTAAACTGCCCCTCACGTAAGCAAATCACCATGGGTACTCACGGCACGGCACTCACTGTACCGTAGTGGAAATCGGCCCTTAGGCCCTCATCAGACTACGTACATAGAACATCCAGTACAAAATCACATAAAACCTAAAAGGCAACATATTTCCAAGCCTGCATTCAGACTACACATTTTACCTGCAATATACAGGCAACCTTTGACCCTACGCTATTGCGCAATGGACCTGGGCGCTGCTGGGATGTGTGAAAGCAGCCGGCAGTCGTACCCGGGTTCAAAGTCTGTACGTTTGTACAACTACCTGGTGAGAAAGTACGATAAATGCAGGAAAGTTGCCTTCTACAAGGGTTCGCACCCTGCCTGAAAGGATCGGGCAGCTTTTTAGGCTTCCCGCCAGATTCTTGTTGTTGTCTTGGAAACTTCTATGTAAATGTGACTTATAGGCTGTTTTGTACCTAGTCTGAAGAGGGCCTTAGCATGGAACTTCTCTATCCACAGGACTCACCCGAATCTTTCAAGGTGGAGAAATGGCGTAAAATCGTCTCCAGGCCTGGGTGTGCACTGGAAGCGTTTGATGCAACCTACTCTCCACAGTCAGATGAAACACAGATATTCAGATGACAAGAATGTCTTATGACGCAAGGAAGCACAAAAACCAGGGTACCTCTCTGGATGTGATGAATCATCAACTACACATCATATGCGGGTAACTCAAATTATTCATAACAGTCATTATTATAGGCACTACGAACTTAGAAGTTGCGCTTTCGGCGGTATTAGTTATAAAGTTGGTTATTCCAATGAGGAACACGCGCTTCTTTCCGAACTCGAAACTTGAGTGACTCACGACTGCCACGAAGAGCCCAGAAGGAGCACGTCGCACCTTTCACCTTCAACTTCCACAAGTGTCAAGTTCGGCAAAAAGCGTGTTTCCTCATTGGGACAACCAACTTCATAATTATAAGCAAAAACGAAAACATTCACATAAGGCCAAACTAAAGAAGGTGTGTGGTTCGACTCACCCGACCGACCGTACAATTTCAGCCCGACCGTAACTTTTTTTCGGCGGGCTGTCGTGTGACTGACGTACGTGGACTGAACACGTCCACGTCTACGTGCTGTGCGGCGTGAGTCTGCGGACGCAGGCGGCTCCTTTTGCAAGTTTTGGACTTGACTTGTAGTTGTACTGCAGTGCAGTGCAGTGAGTGGTACGACTGCTGCCTTGTGCTGGTAGTAGAGTCTACTCGATACGCGTATACAGTGTATTTACATGTACTAAAAAATATATTTAAAAAAAAAAATCCGCCCGCCCGCCCGTAAAAAAAATGTCCATGTTAGTCGAACCACACACCTTCTTTAGTTTGGCCTAACATGAAAGAATTAGGGGTGTCACTAGGCAGTGTCAGGAGCCATTTGCATACAACTTCATGTTGTTAAGCCGTTTAAAGCCCCGAGATAAGGCTTAGAGACCGATACAAATGTTTGCATGCACAGTGGACTACAGAATAATGCAAATGATTCGTGATGTTTAACCTGTGAAACATTCTGCCTGTGAACAGATGCATTTTCGGTGCAAACATTTCATTCTTTTTCTTCTTTTTTCTCGATTTTTTAGTTCGTCACCTCAACAGTACAATCATGTATAACTTGAACTAGTCATTCATGACCTGAAAATACACTTACATTGAACAGAATGCTAATGACGGCCTCTGCGTCACCGTCTCCACTGGCCAAAGCTCTTTTTAAAGACGAGTATCTGGAATTGAAAAATACGACGTGGAGCTGTAGAGAAAGAATTACAAAAAGTACATTGTAATTATGAAATGTCCATTATTTTATTCCCGTAGCTATGCAGAAGACGTTACTTCAGTAACGTCTGGCGCTAGCCAGGGTCACAGCTTTAATTTGGTATTTGTGTGTGTGTTTGTTTGTTTATGTCACGCCTGGCGCTATCCCGTATCTGTCCCGCACCGTACCGTACCATCAAACACAACTGGCCGCAATATTCAAATAGGGCTTTTGTCACGTCCCAGAATAAGACAACTGCTGCCTGATAGTCCTGTGATAGCAGGATCTACATAGTGAGCAGCTCTGTGCTGAGCTGTCACGCCCTTTTAGTACAACATGGTTTGGCCAGTGTCTTGTCCCACGTGCTTAGCATGTAGGTTGAGCGACACGCGCTTTCCCACGTAGGTGACATGCCTTCTTGGCATGACACGTTATGGGATCCAAGGCCGGAACCTGGTCAGGTAGGTTCTCGCGTTGTACGTTTCCTGGAAGTTCTTCACTTCCTGGAAATGTGACCCCAGGCTTTGTGCAAAACCACGTCACTACGACGTTCTACAGGTTTCCACGATGCCTCGGCGCTTCGTGCAAAGAGCCAAGACTAATATGACATTGTATAACAAGAGCTAAGTGCAAGACATGAGACGTGTGCAAGAACCAAAACCGTCACCGCGCAAGAGGTCAGAGTATCACGCAAGCAAGACCAAGAATGCAGCAGAACTTACCATAAGAAGCCGCTGAACTATGGCACGTTGGGTGAGCGGGCTCCCCAACGTGACCCTCATATACTCACATTGTACTCTGACGTGGGTGAGCGGGCTCCCCACGTCCCAGTTTGGTCTTTCTTCTCTCGATGTCTTTCTTTCTCTTTCTTCTCGAATGATCACCGTACGTATATTCTGCATTTCTGCTGACTGGCTGCGCACATTCCGGTTTGACTTGTTCTGCTATTTCCTGGAATTACCTCGCCATGATCACGCCATTATATCTCTGAAGCACCCTATAAAAGAAGCTCTCATTCTCTCTTTTACTTCAGTTCTAGTCTAGTCTAGTCTAGCAGTCGAGACTCGGTCTCAGCTCTCTGTCTTCGTTTACTTTGAGCTCGGATTTGATACTACTCACAACGTAAAACTAACAGTCTTTGTCTGTTGATCGTGTGGGGTTGAACTTGGACCAAGCCAGCTATATTGGTTGGCCCCTGGGATGTGTTGGGCTTGTCGTGAGGCCACACGTCTATATTCAGTCGCCGCTCGTAGTGATTTCGGGGTCCGGTCACTCTGAGCCGGGGACGCGACATTTGGTGCTGTGACCAGGATGGTCTAAGTTCTCCTCACTCCGTAACTGCAACGACGCGATGTCCACAGCAGTCTTTCGTGAACAACCTTGTCTCTGATGGCAGGTTCTTGGCGATAGACGTGGCAGAGCAACAGCAGTGTTGGACGCTCCAACTAAACTTGGGACGAAGAAAACTCCGAGTGCGTTTCTCTTTCGCATCCAGCACTGGCTTTCGTTCCGGATCTCGTGTTCCTGTAGCGCTGCAGTGCGAGTTCGTAGTGCACGACGAGCTTGCTTTGCTGCGGACTACATGGCGGACACCAAGGTGCGAAATTTATTGCCAGTTGCACGATCGATCGAGGAGTTGTTTGCATTCAGGCAGTTTTCAAGTACGAGTGCAGTGCGCGTTGTTCAGCTTCAGATATGGAAGGGTTCGTGAACCCGTGTACCATGTGTACGCACATGAGCCGTAAACAGGGCTTGGGTCCTCTTTACGGAGCGTTGTGAAAGTAGTCACTACGACTGGATCACGGAGTAGTGCAGTGTAGTTTTCAAGTTTCGACAAGAAAACGCCACTGTTCGGACATGGTGTTTGTTGAGACCGCTTGAAGCTCTTGAAGCTTGACAAGTCGTCTCTTCAACGATGAGGCCTTACTGACATTCGAACTCAGTTTGTTCTCAGTCGCGAGTGCTGTTTGAAGACCCGGTTGTTTCATGGCTGAAACGATGGGAGGATGCAGACCACGTCGTTGGTTGTGGACGAATGCAATCTCGTTCTGTGTGTCGATGCACCAGACGAAGTTTTGTGTGACGCCCAGCTTTGGTGCTGGAGGACGCAGTTTTATCTGCGAATGTTCTTGACGATCATGTCAGTCGCGAGGATGGGAGTTCTGACCTTGTTGTCGATCTTCAGTCTCCAGACGTTCTGTTTGTGAAGAAAAAAAAGTTTGTGGAGAGGATGGCCGAACAGTACATGACCTACTAGTATGTGCTGGAGTGTATACTCGTTACTCGCCGCGGTCTTTGTCCTTGGTGAAAGTTGACCAGTTTCCTGAAGAAGGAACTGTGTCCTGTGAAAGTGTGATGTTGATGGGTGCCTTTGCATCCTCAACAAATGACTGGACTGTGCACCGGTTCGGGTTGTGTACGGCTCAGAGGAGTCAGTTGGTCTCTGTGGATGAGGCGCCCGGATCGGTCAGTTGTAGCCAATTTCGGTTGGTGGTGATGAGCTTGCGTAGTGAGCAACGCGTTACGGAGAAGGGGACGGTGGTGACCATACAGGCCAGGATGGGATTCCTGGGGCCGAAGAAGTATGGTCTGCGCTTCATATAGGACGAGGTCCTAGAACTGAAGTGGAAAGGCTGTGGTGGGAGAGGATGATTTGGATATGGATCCCTCGAGCACAGTGTTGGCTGATCAGGGGACGCCCTGTGTCGAGGAGCCTGGTAGGCGAGACTCATCTGGGGATGATGAGTTGTTGCGAGTGAGGTCCCAATTTGCTCGTTACCGGATGGATTTTACTACGAGCTCTTTACCGATCTTGTGTCACAACTGTGTAGCACCATCGGATTGAGTGAATGCTTTATGTGCCTGGCACCTGGCGAGGAATTGTATTTTCTCGTGAGCAGTCAGTGATATTGTTCAGTCGTATGAGCCCGATACGAGTGATATGCTGTATTCGGCTGATGACATGGTGTTCGCACCAAAACCTGTGGTGGATTGGACTTGCATCCTGCATCTCCAGTTGACTTACCTATTGTATCCGTCGCGGAGCCTGGTGGATGACACTGGCAACGTCGCGGTATCTCACCGACTACCATATCGGTCGAGGATAGTCACGGGGACGTGATTCTTCAACGGCGGGGGAAATGTCACGTCCCAGAATAAGACAACTGCTGCCTGATAGTCCTGTGATAGCAGGATCTACATAGTGAGCAGCTCTGTGCTGAGCTGTCACGCCCTTTTAGTACAACATGGTTTGGCCAGTGTCTTGTCCCACGTGCTTAGCATGTAGGTTGAGCGACACGCGCTTTCCCACGTAGGTGACATGCCTTCTTGGCATGACACGTTATGGGATCCAAGGCCGGAACCTGGTCAGGTAGGTTCTCGCGTTGTACGTTTCCTGGAAGTTCTTCACTTCCTGGAAATGTGACCCCAGGCTTTGTGCAAAACCACGTCACTACGACGTTCTACAGGTTTCCACGATGCCTCGGCGCTTCGTGCAAAGAGCCAAGACTAATATGACATTGTATAACAAGAGCTAAGTGCAAGACATGAGACGTGTGCAAGAACCAAAACCGTCACCGCGCAAGAGGTCAGAGTATCACGCAAGCAAGACCAAGAATGCAGCAGAACTTACCATAAGAAGCCGCTGAACTATGGCACGTTGGGTGAGCGGGCTCCCCAACGTGACCCTCATATACTCACATTGTACTCTGACGTGGGTGAGCGGGCTCCCCACGTCCCAGTTTGGTCTTTCTTCTCTCGATGTCTTTCTTTCTCTTTCTTCTCGAATGATCACCGTACGTATATTCTGCATTTCTGCTGACTGGCTGCGCACATTCCGGTTTGACTTGTTCTGCTATTTCCTGGAATTACCTCGCCATGATCACGCCATTATATCTCTGAAGCACCCTATAAAAGAAGCTCTCATTCTCTCTTTTACTTCAGTTCTAGTCTAGTCTAGTCTAGCAGTCGAGACTCGGTCTCAGCTCTCTGTCTTCGTTTACTTTGAGCTCGGATTTGATACTACTCACAACGTAAAACTAACAGTCTTTGTCTGTTGATCGTGTGGGGTTGAACTTGGACCAAGCCAGCTATATTGGTTGGCCCCTGGGATGTGTTGGGCTTGTCGTGAGGCCACACGTCTATATTCAGTCGCCGCTCGTAGTGATTTCGGGGTCCGGTCACTCTGAGCCGGGGACGCGACATTTTCAAACGCAAGATCATAACATGAAGCAACTTGGAAGAATGGGTATGAATGCGAAGTGTACGGGGGAATGCATGTAGGGCGATAGTGCGGGTTCGAATCCCAGGATATGCCTGAAAAAAAATAGGAGAATTGAAAAAATTATAACATCCCATTGCTTTTTTTGCCGTCATCGGGAAATTTACAGCTGACTATGCTTATGCAATCAACGGAATTCCGCCACCTTGCAGTTGATTTTCCCCATTTCTCTCCTCATCAATCCCTACTTGTCTTTGTACATACATCTACATCTACTGTTCTTTCAATCAAATGAACCCCTCGATAGGCACATTGCCTTTGGGTCATTTCATCATAATAATAATAATAATCAAGGCGGTAGACGGTGTCGTATTACCCTCGATCGTACCTGTCCCGTACCTATCCCGTACCATACCATCAAAGATGGCTGGCCACAATGCATATTCAAATAGGGCTTTCAAATGCAAGATCATAAAGGCCGATTCACAATACAACTTTCTGCGACGCGACAAGCAACTTGCGACACATGCGACGAGCTGCCAACAACCAACAATATTCTTCATGTTTGCGACATGTCGACATCCTCATGCACAAGTGGTACTATGCACGTGCACTGCACGTGCACCCAGGGTCGAAACTGTACTCCATTTGTGTATGTCGCGTGTCGCATGTCGCAAAAGTTGAACTTTCTTCAACTTCTGCGACAGGTGCATTGCGACAGCTTGCGACAACTCGCGACAGGCAGTTTCTTGTCGCAACTGTCGCAAATCGCATG